AGCTCGCTGACCACATCGACCAACACCAGCTCCAGCTCTCGCCTGCGCCGCCCGCAGCAGTGACTCTTCAAGCGGAGACGCCATCAACAAGGACCTTTGCACCGTGCAGGCCCATGGCCACCACGATCATGTTCTTGCTACACCTCCTCTGGAAGACGCCGAGTGGAGGATTTCCAGCACCATTTCGAGATGCACATTCGGGAATGCAATTTGATCGCGTTATCAATCGATGTACAGATCGACCCAGACAAAGGCGACCTGATTAAGCCAGACGCGATTGCCTTTTGGTGCGCGGCGATACGTCAGGGCAAAATCTTTGGCATCGTAGCCGGCCCTCCGTGCGAGACGCGGTGCTCGTCACGTTGGCGCGCCACTGAGGGCAACGCCCCACGCCCACTACGCACCCACGACTTCCCCAGGGGCATACAAGCAGCCAACCAAACGGAACTCCAGCAGCTAGCACTGGCCAACGTACTCTACAGGACAGCCTTACTGCTCATCACCACGGGCTTGCAGTACAACGTTTCCGCGATACTCGAGCATCCAGCCCCAGCTACCTGGTGTCCTCATGCGCCGAGTAGCCTGCGTCGAGCGGAGACTCTGTGGCTGTTGGAGCAGACGAATGTCCGGCTACACTGCATCGACCAGTTCCAGTTTGGGCAGGCCGCGCGAAAGCCAACGTGTCTGCTGGCGGCACACCTCAGTGAACTCACGCAAGAGCTCGGAGCAGTGCCCGGTGGTCAACTGCGCCGACATCGTGGACACGACCGCGCTTACGGACGCGACGAGCAGGGCGGCTGGAGGACCGCCCCTCTCAAATAATATCATTCGAGGTTGTGCAAGGCAATGGCAGCAGCCTTCGCAGCCCACTGGGGGCAGCTCGCAGACGACGAAGCACTGCGGGCCGAGACAGACGAGTACTACCACAGCTTCTACGCGCCACTGGACCATTACACAGAGCCAGAACAGCTGGGGCACGACTGTCACTGGGCTTGGGGCAGCCACCGCCGCTAGCAGCAACCCACAGATTCGCGCAGTACTACGTAGACCAGCACGACTGGGTCGAGTACCACAGGTTCGGGCCCACAGGTTCAGGCAGTATCACGTTGACCTGCACAACTGAGTCGTGAGTGGATTACTATTTTGCAGTATTACAGATTGTGCAATGCGACCGTGGACTGAGTGGATTACTAGTTTGCAGTATTTTACCGACTGAGCGATCGAGGGACTGCGTATTTTACTGAATTTACTGTCTGAGTATCTTGCGTGACCAGCACGACCGAGTGAATATTCGAGTATGTGATCTCATGGACTCCGATGGCTTGCCATTCTCGAGGGGGGGGACCCGTGGCGCCCATACGGGTGGGCACGATCCCTCAAAGGCGACGGAGCGTGCCTCCCCTCGAGTACTCTTATTGGTTCTATCATGCATTTGTTCTGGCAATGATTCTGATGCGAGTATTTATCCTCTCTGGGCAAAGGTTGCAAAGCGCCCAGTCTATCATTGTACGGTATTTTGTTATTTCTTAGCAGATGGGCAGCAAGAGTGACTCGAGCACCACAGGCTTGTGCACCATAGAGTCAAGCAGTGCAAGCAGTGCTACGTCGACCAGCACGACGGAGCCGAGTACCATAGGTCCGTGCACCGCGGAGACAAGCACTACCATGTTGACCAGCATGACTGTGCCGCACGCCACAGGTGCGGGCGCCACAGAGTCAAGCACTGCCACTTGTACCAGCACGACTATGTCGAGTACCACAGGTTCGAGCACGACCACGTCGAGTACCACAGGGCTGTTCGCGGCGAAGAGCGTCCTCGACGACAAGCACTATGGCGTCAGGACTCAAGTCCTGAGGAAGACCCGAATGCGTGGGAACACCTCAGGCAGCGTCGCCAAGTTTTGCATGAGGCGTTAGGACGCAAGTCCTGGGGAAGCCCCGGATGCGTGGGAACACCCCAGGCACAAGTCGCTACGTTTTGCTGTATGGACTCAGGCAGCGATCGTACGTATACAACTCAGTGGTTACCAGCTGGCCAGACGGTATTCGACCTCTACGACCATGTTGCACCACCGATCGACCACCACTCGCAACCCTTGTATGGCCCACCGCACCTCATTACAAGTCAACGCTGCCCTGGTGAGGCATGGATCAAACTTCGAGACGGGCTCGAAGGGTAGGGGGGCAGGACGAGTACTACCCGCGCCTACCAGGGGGGATGGTGAGGGGCAGGGGGGGGGTAGGACGTCCACTACCTGCGCCCCCGCGGTCCGCCCTAGCTCGCCACCCCCACCATCCCCATGGCGGAGGAGGAGCTACCCGAGCGCCCAATGGGCGAAGCGCAGGGCAGCCGAGACATCCCACACCGACAGAAGTAAGCACCAGGCCTGGGGCTCGCCCCCACCGAGGGCACTGTGACCCCTAGCCATAGCGGGACGAGGTGGGGCCGCCACGAACCCCACTTGAAGTCGGTGCATGGAGGCCTCATATGTGCGCCCACGACCCATACCACAACACCAGCAACAAGCCGACCTCCCAACGACCCACCAACCAGCACGCACGACAAGCAACTACAAGGGCTGGGGATCCCCCCAACCGACCATCCACTCCACCACCACCTCCCGCCATCATCGCCGACCAGCACGGCCGAGTCGAGTACCACAGGATCGAGGACCACCGAGTCAAGCACTAGACTATCACATCAACCAACGCGACTGGGTCGAGTACCACAGGCTTGGCACCACAGTTTCATGCAGTACTACGACGACCATCACGATTGAGTCGAGTACCACAGCTCGTGAACCACGGAGCCAAGCCGTACTACGTTGACCAGCACGTCTGTAGCGAGAAGCACAGTTTCGAGCACCGCAGAGTCAAGCAGTACCACTTGACCAGCACGTCTGGGTCGAGTACCGCAGGCTCGCGCACTACTGAGTCAAGCAGTACCACAGGTTCGATAACTACAGAGTCCAGCAGAGTGAAGAAGGGGCAGCCTGCCCCGCGACGCGGGATACACAGCGCAGGGCGCCGAAGGGTGTATCCCCGTCGCCCTCGCGTGGCATGCGAGGGGCCGAGGCCAGCCGGCCAGAGTCGGCAGGAGCTGGAAAGAGCGGCCGCCAGTGCAGGCCAGCTGGAGCCCACGAGCGGCTCGGCGAGCCTCCACAGCGCGCGGCGCCGAAGGGTGGAGGTCGCCAAGGCGGGGGGCAGCCAGCCCCTAGGAGCCGCCCTCCACGGCGGCTGGGCTCAGCGCTCCGCGCCGAAGGGAGCCCAGCCGCCGCCGTGCGGCCGCCGGCCCACGAAGAGGCCGACGGCCTGGCCGCGCGCCGTGCCGTGCTGCCTGACGCCCGCGGGCGCGGGCGCGCGCGGCGCCCGCCCAAGGGCCCTGTCGGGCCTCCCTTTTTGAAAAACCCGGCCCCTCTCCCCTCCTCCGAGGTATTCATTGGTCCCTGGTCCTCTCTCTTCCTCGGGGTCGGGTTCCCGGGGCCGCCGTCTGAGTGCCCGCACGGCCCTCGTGGGCTGCTGCGGCGCGCTTCGCGCCGCGGGCGCATGAGAAGACGCTGGCTGAGCGAGAAACGGCAGAAACGGCAGGGGGGGGGGGCCAGAGACAGAGGGGAGGAGGGTTCTGAGCATGCGCAGTGGAAAAGGGAGGAGAAGGGGGCAGGGATCCGAGCGAGGACGTGGGCCACGCGAGTACAGCGGAGGCCAGTCCACAAGAGACCTTCCACAAGGAACCCAACCCTGAGACCCCAGGACGCCCATCGATTTTTGGTGCGGGCACGTCACGCTGACCATCGCGAAACCATCGACACGCAAGGTACAGGGCACCCTGGAAGAAAGCAGGGTGTCTCTTGGCATGAGCCTCCACTGCAGAAGAACAGCAAGCTGCATTAAAACATACGCTCTCGGAGGTCTGCGCGGATTTCTCGAATCGGCACTGGAGACCCCCCTGCCAAGGACGGCGCCGAAGGCGCCGCAACATATTCAAGATATCCTCGCGAATCTACAAACTTGTATGCTTATGCGTTTCGGTTATCCTTCGAGACGGAGATCGGGGCGTCCAAGAGGGGGGCGTCCAAGAGACGGGTTCGCAAACCATGGCCAGAGGCACGTGCTCCGACGGGGGGGCAAACAACACACCGAAACAAAAGAAGGGCCATGACATCCAGGCACCATACATATATACCTCATCGTCGTCATCATCGTTATCAAGATCAGCATCGGAATACTTATCACCATCACCACCACCACCATCATCACCATCATTTTCATCAACACCACCATCACCACCATTACCACCACCATCACCACCATCACCACCACCATCACCATCACCATCACCATCACCATCACCATCACCATCGCCATCACCATCACCATCACCATCACCATCACCATCACCATCACCATCACCATCACCAGCACCAGCACCAGCACCAGCACCAGCACCAGCACCAGCACCATCACCATCACCATCACCATCATCATCAGCATCATCATCATGCCAATCATCGTCATCGTCATCGTCATCGTCATCGTCATCAGCATCAGCTGCAGCTGCAGCATCATCATCATCATCATCATCATCATCATCAGCATCGTCATCGTCATCGTCATCGTCATCACCATCACCATCACCATCACCATCACCATCACCATCACCATCACATCATCATCCATCATCATCATCATCATCATCATCATCATCATCATCATCATCATCATCATCATCATCATCATCATCATCATGACAATAATAATTGAGCATCATGCCCTGGAGGGCACCCCCATAAGCGGGGTGTCGGTCAAAAGCGCCCGCTGGCGCAGGAGGGGGGCACCAAGCCTTCGGGGTTCAAACCCCCGCGCCCGGCGGGATTGGCCACACATCTGAACGTATCATAGCCTCACTCAGCCATGATCTCCCCTCCTTGTCATTACCCCAGCCCTGGACGCCTCCGAAGGGGGTGGGGGGGGGCGAGGGGGCCACAAGGCAAGGGCTCCGCCTCGAAGGTCTCCGCCTTCTCCATGCAGTTCGAATGCAGGGTCGCCTGGATGCGAGGGAAAACGGTGCCGCTGCAGGGCCGAGATGTCCACATCCTCCCTCCTCCTCCTCCTCCTCCTCCTCCTCCTCCTCCTCCTCCTCCTCCTCCTCCTCCATCCTCCTCCTCCTCCTCCTCCTCCGCCTCCTCCGCCTCCTCCGCCTCCTTCTCCTCCGCCTCCTCCGCGGACGGCCTTGGAACTAAAGCGCCCAGGGCTTCCTTTGTCCTTTTCTGTGCCCCGACCCCCTACCCTCATCATCTATCCTACAACATGAGATAATGCTGGCGCGGAGTACGTTCAGTCTCGGAGTCGAAACTGGACATGCTGATTTGGGGCCCTCAGTTGCAGGGATCCCGCAGCAGGAGTGGGAGCCATCGCGGACGGCATCGTCACGCGGGACGACCCCCTCCCTCTCGCCTCCCTGCTCGGCGAAGACCGTCATTAGGCCTCGTCGGTGAGGACCGTCATTAGGCCTCACACCCCTCGCATTTTCCATCAATGGGGCTGCGGGGGTCCCGCTCGCACCAAGCAACCTTCCATATTGCCGTCAATAAGTACTGGAGGGGGCCGAGGACCCCCCTACGATCCCTCGGCCAATGAAGACGGCCGTAGGGGGGGATGACCCGTACCTCCACCCGAAGGCACACTTGTGCCACCACCTTCAATCAGAGGCGTCAATTGCTACCCACCATTCCTATCCTCCATTGGGCCGTGAGCGGGATTTATTCCCCTGTCGGCTGATTGTGCCTGTCAGTGCCAATAATCTTTTACGTTCTGGTACTTGCGCTACCCCACCTTGCGCCCCAAGGGTGACGGCTCGACCTGTGCTGTAATGGCACTCCTGCGGTCGTGTCCCTCTCCCCACCGAGCAAGGGTGACGGTGCGACCTGTGCTGTAATAGCACTCGTGTGGTCCTACCCGCTCCCCGCTAACCTACCCGGAAAATCTACCTCTAGGACCCCTCGGGTTTTGACGGAACTAGTTAATGGGAATTGAAGAATTTGGTGTCCCCTTCCCCGTCGTGTTTGTCCTCCCAATTCTCTGTCGCCCCTTCTTCCTGCCCCTGTCTTGTCGTCCCTCGTCTCTGGCCGTCCTTTCTCCGCTCCGGCCCCTTTCCCCTGCCCCCTTCGGCCTCTCCTCTTCCTCCCCCTCCTTCCCCCCCCCTCCTGTCCCCGTCGTCCGTCTTCGTTGGCCGTCCTTTCTCCGCTCCTGCCCCTTTCCCCTGCTCCCTTCGGATCTCCCCGTTCCACTTCCTCCCTCCTTCTCCTGCCTCTTTTCCCCCCTCGCCGTCTTGCCCCGGCCCGCCGTCCGTTCCTCCCCCTGCCCTCCTGCCGTGGACGAGGGGGCCTGCCGCGTCCACCACTGAGGCCCCATTGCATGGGCCCCGGCGCACGGCGCCGGAGGCATGTTCCGGGAACTCCTCCCCGGAACATGCCTCGAGGATCTCTCCGGCGTAAGATTGGAAGATCCCGCCGGCGTAGGATTGGTGGGCATCGTCACGCGGGAAGACCCCCTCCCTCGCGCCTCCCTGCTCGGCGAGGACCATCATTAGGCCTCGTCGGTGAGGACCGCCACTAGGCCTCACACCCCTCGCAGTTTCCATCAATGGGGCTGCGGGGGTCCCGCTACCACCAGTCAACCTTCCATACAGAGGGGGCCGAGGACCCCCCTACGATCCCTCGGCCAATGAAGACCCGTACCTCCACCTCAAGGCACATTTGTGCCACCACCTTCAATCAAAGGCGTACATTGCCATCCACCACTCTCCTCCTCCTCGTCCTCTTCCCCCTCCTCCTGATGTGCGATCGCCGTCGGGAACGTCGGGAGGCCTCGCTGGGGAATGGCGGCCCATCCGTATCCACCCCCTCCTGAGGTCCCAGGGCTTCAGTTGCCCAGTCGGTGGACATGGATGACCCCCCTCGCGTTGCGAAAGGAGCGAACAAAAGAGGGGGATGGGACGGGAGAGTGGCAACGGCACGCTCCGACCAGCCAGGTCACGCTCGGGGGCGCCGACCAGCCAGGTCGGCTTGGGCCAGAGAGCTGCCATCCTCCAGCGGGGCCTCACGTGGGTTTGACGGTGACCGCACATCGCGGGGCGGGACGCGCGAGGTTCGAACACCTAGGGTCAGCGAGGAGAGGAGGAGGAGGAGGAGGAGGAGTAACAGAAACGATTCTGATGTTTGCGGTGAGGGGAACGGGCGTCCGGCCACAGGGTCCATGCAACAGGCGAACATAAACAAGTGCAGAAGCTGGGCCCTCCGGATTGAGCGGTTCTCTAAACGGGCCCGCGCCAAAAGTTTCGCAAGTCTTGAAGAAAGGGGGAGGAGACACGAGGTGATGCCCAAATCGCGCCTGTGACGGACCGGGCGGCGGCCTCGAAACCCCAGGCGGCCCCGCCGCGTGGTCCGACGCGGCCGCGTGGCCGTGGGGCTTCGGAGGCTCCCAGTGGCCGGAGACGTCCTCGGAGAAAACGACCCGAGTCCCAAGACGGCAGGGCGGACCCCGCATCCCCGGTGGCTCACCACGCGGTGTGGTCGCCACGCCGTCTGGGGGAGGAGGAGGGGGGCGGGGGCGCGTGCTGCCACGGAGTGCCGCCCACCTGGCGGCGTACACCCCCGCCCTCGGCCCCCTCTCCTCCCTCCTCCGCCTCCTCCGCCTCCTCCTCCTCCTCCTCTCCTCCGCCTCCTCCGCCTCCTCCGCCTCTTCCTCCTCCTCCTCCTCCTCCTCCTCCTCCTCCTCCTCCTCCTCCTCCTCCTCCTCCCCCTCGTCCTCCTCCTCCTGCTCCTTTAATCCCAGGAATGGCGTTCTGGCATGTTTCAGGATCGTCAAGAGGCCCCTGGGGGGCTCCTGGAGTTGGAGTCCCGAGGAACACGTGTTGGCATGCTTCAGGGTCGTCAAACGGTTGTCTTCCAACGAGGCAGTTCCCTCAGTGGAAATGAACCCTTGTAGGGGCCTATGAAGAATGAGCTTCGAGGGAGGGTTTATTCTAACATCGTTGATGACCCTTGGGTTTGCAATGCTCCTCCTCCTCCTCCTCCTCCTCCTCCTCCTCCTCCTCCTCCTCCTCCTCCTCCTCCTCCTCCTCCTCCTCCTCTCCTCCTTTTTCAACGGCTTTCTCTTCACCCCGCCAATCCTTGATCGAAAGGGGCTACTGAGGGCAAAGCAAGGGGGGGAGCGACAAGACCACCAGCTCGCGGGCTATTCCCTCCCTCCCGAAGGGGCGAGTGGCCCGCCCCCACGCCAGGCTCGCCAGGCGCTAATCCCCAAGCCTCGCGAACGAAAAACGCGGTCCTCCCGCGGCGCCACGACGCCTCCGACCAGCTGGCGCCGCGTACAACAACAGCAACAACAACACCAACACCAACACCAACACCACTAACAACAGCAACAACAACAACATCCACAACCACAGCCACAACCACAACCACAACATCAACACCAACAACACCGTTAACAACAACACCAACAACAACATCATCAACAACAGCAACAACAATCACTTCAAGACTGTTCGCCCTTATCTGCTCGAGTGTCCAATAACGCGTCTTTCCAAAACCCTCCATATAAGATGAAACCGGGATCGGGGCAAAATTTGACCGGGATAAAAATCATGTTCGGTTTTTCAAATCACTGGGGGCGCCGCCGAACGGGCCTGCCACGCCTTGGGCGCCATCGGCTTCGCGAGGGAAGAAAAGCGCTCCGGCGCGGATGAAGCCACGGCGCGTAATTGGCCACGCGCACGACCGAGGGAATTCAGCGCCAAGCGCCTTTCACTCCAGAAGGCCCGACGTCAACAAAACAAACTTGAGGCCCAAAGGGGGCCCCAAGGAGGCGGACCGCCAAAACAATCACGCAACCAACGCAACGAAAAAACACGAAAATGTCAAACATCGCGTTACTCAGTGACCTCTTCGGCCAAGCAACACCGCGATAATGCCCAAGAAGGCATTGGACAAAAAGTCACGCGTGCGGCCAGGCGACTTCCCCACGCCGCCCCAAGGTTCCCGAAGCGCGCCGAAATAACCGTAGAGAACACCCCGGAAAGTCTTTGGAAAATCCCCGCGCCATGCAAGATCCGCCACCGAACAATCTCGCGGACACCTGACGCGCGCGCGCGGGTGTCCACCATGGATGCCCAACTCCGGTTTCCGAGACAATCGCGCGCAACCGCCTGGGGGCCTCGGCAACCAAATGGCCCAGGGGCCCGCGGGCCCCAGGGAATCGAAGACCGAGTTCGCAACTCCGGAAGCATCGGGCGCGGCGCCAGCCAGTCGCTCGTCTCTGGCTGACAGTAGGACGCCTGGAGACCCGGTAAAACCTAAGGAACCGCTTCTCAGAGATTCACAGAGCCAGAAACCGGGGCGCGCCAAATTCTCGCGTCCGAACTTCTCTGAGAATCTCTGAAAATCTCTGAACTAGCCACCCCGCGTGAAACATTCCCATAAACCCAAAACCTCGGAGCTGGCCGATACTCTCTGAGAGTTTTTTCGGCCCGCGAAATTTGGCGCGCCCGGATTTCTGGTTCCAAGATCCTCTGAAATCGCGCTGCGGCGGCGCCCAGCAGGTCCTCGCGCGCCCAGGGTGGGGGCCGTGGACATCGCGGGCCGCGATGGTCCCGACCGCGAGGTCCTTCCTCCTGCCCCTCGACGAGTCCACGCTCATGGACGCGCTCTCTGCGCTGAGCGTGGACCGCGCCATCCGCCGGTACTTCTGCGCGACGACAGCCAACTGGCCGCCGACGGACAAGGCGATTTTTCTCCGAGCTGCGCGTGCCACCGAAAACGTACAATAGCCGCGGGCTCGGGGAGAAACACTTTCGATGCATTTTCAAGCCGCCAGCGTCGTGGCTGCCGACCCGCCGGGCGCCGACCGAGAGACGAGCTGGGTCCACTACGTCCACGGCGGCGGGCGGGCGCCCAAGAGAGCTGTCGCCACGGTGCGCGCGGCGGGGCGCCCGCCCAACTGCAACCGCAAATGCGGCCTCCATGGCGCCACAGGCGTAATATGT